CGGGGCAGGAGGAAACCCTGCCGGGGACAATCCCCGAGGAGGGAGCGGCCCCGGCGGGGATGGAGGAGGCTCCCGGGAGCCGGGGGGAAGCGGAGCCGGCGCTGGAGCCGCAGGGCGCTCTCCGGTCTCCGGGCGGCCCCGACGGCGCGGACGGAGCGGAGCCCGAGCGAAGCCCCGCGGCCCCGGCGGGGGCAGGAGAGGGGGACGCGACCCCCGAGGCAGCGGAAAGAGGGGCCCCAGACCCCCAGAGCGAGTGGGGTCGGAGCCTGAACGGAGTGAGGGGTCGGGCGGAGGACGAGGAGAACGAGACGGGCTCGCCGGCAACCCCCGAGGAGGAGGAGGAGAAGCAGGAGCACGACATCTCCCTCTTCGTCAAGGTACGAGGGAATCTCCGGGGGGGAATCCCCTCTTCCAGGAGCCCCTGGAAGCTCCTGGGATGAGGGGCATTTAAATCTGGCAGGCAAAATCCAGCCTGGCTAAGGTGATTTGGTTATTAATGCCCGATATAAACTCGCCCCTGGCTCCTCATTCCTTCGGGAATCGCCGGCACAAAGGAATTGCCAGAGGATTTTTACACCTCCCAAAACAGGGAGAAGGGTTCACATCCCAGGGGCTGAGAGGGGAGAGGTTGGGAAATGGAATTCCCAACGGGATCCGGGGGTTTCCTGTCGTGAATTACGGGTGATATTTAGATAATTGCCCCGAATTTTGGCCGGGTTGAATTCAGAGTCAGGAAACAACACCCGGGTCGGGTGTGTTTGGGCAGGGAAAGTTTTCGGGTTCATGGACAAAAAGGGGACAAAAATACAACTAATTTCTGGTATTTTATAGATCAGAGCTTTAGAACTTCTTTCTAACCTGTGCCTGCAATCCCATAAAAATCACTGGAAACAACAGCCATCCACAGCTGGGAATTTTCTGTGTGTAGGAACCACCCTGAGGGGGTTTCTCCCCTCTTCTTTGGCCCTTCTGGACTAAAAGCGTGGAGCAGAGTGGGATTATTTTTTTTTAGAGTGACCCTAGAGTTAAGGAAATAAAAGCAGAGAAGCAGAAGACATTTGAGACCTTCTCTCATGCACATCCTGCACATCCTGAGCTGGCTGAGGCTGCTTGTGCCAGCCAGAATTCGCCTTAAAATTGAAATTAAACTCAGTGCCAGCACACAGGTCATGGCAGAAAAACGTGGCCAAAATTAGAGAGCAGCCTAAACTAAGAATAAAAGCATCTGTTGTGACCCTGTGCCCCCAAATATCAGGATTTGTGAAAATATTTCTGAATTAATAAGACAGAAGGAAGAGCATTTTTGACTTCAGGCTGCCTGGAAAATAATCCCATAATTTCAGTGGGGAAATATTGCAAAGATGGAATATTTTGGAGCTTGATTTTGGGAGTGGAGATTGAATTAGCTCTTGCTTTCCCTCTATCCTGCTCTTGGCAGCAGGAAAAGGGGTGTAAAAAGAGGGAGCCTGGAAGTTCTCTGTGGTGGCTTGAAGTGGGTTTTAAGAGCAGATCCCCAAGGCTGGGCTTAAACAGCTTTTCATGTCTTTTGAGGGGGAAAAAAAAGGGAGAGTGGATTCCAGCGTGGGACAGGGTGGACTCTGGAATCTGGGGATTATTGTGTGTTTAATTCCACGTGCAGCCAGGGCTGATAATATAAATATGTTATCCACGATCTCCCTGATCCTTCAAACCTCTGTTTAAAACTTCACCCTCCTCTGACACCACCAGAAACTGGGGAGTGACTGGGCTGGTTAAACTTAAAATGAAATTAAATTTAAATTAAAATTGCAGTTATGGCCTGGCCTGGCCCGAATTCCTTACTTGTACCTGGTTCTCTTTGTTAGAGAGAAATGTAAAAATAAGGCCCATAATAGGAGAAAAACGCCCAGGAAAATGATACAGGGATAATGCTGGAATGATCCTGGCAGTTTCCCTGCCTGGGAACACGGTACAAGGCCAAAATTAAAATACTTGAGGGTCTTTTCAGTCATAAAGTAAATAAAATAATCAAGTTTTAAGCATCAGGAAGAGAATTCCTGAGGCTCCTTGGTTGGAAGACCAAAGCAATGTCAGAATTCCTTTAAATCTTCCATGAGCTGCTCCCTCCGTTTCCATTTCCCAGGAAACAATATCATATATTTTCTTTAGATAACCAAACTTGATATTCCTGGTGTTCTCAAAGGCAAATGTTCTCAAAGGTCACCCAGATGTCCTTTGCAGTTGGTTCTTTGGGAATTCACCTTGTGACGCCTCCAAAGGCTTTTTTTTCTCCCCTTTATTTACCAGGAAACTTCTGGAAATGCCCTAATTTGACCCTTAAACAGAGTCAAACCATGACTAAAATTACTCTGGTAATTTTAAGCAATGTCAGATTTATCTATAACTTAGAAGTTTATTTCTAAATTAAAATGATTATCTAATTATTTATACATAGAGGACTCAACTGCCAGAATCACAACAGCAGATTTCATAATTCCCAAGATTTCTTGAGATTTATCTGTGCCAAACAACCCAGTTGGAGCACAAGGCCTTCCCTGAGACTGCTCATCTTCCAGAACATTCCTTCCTTGGTTTCAGGGTTAGATGGATTACAGCACAAGCTGACCATGAGCACAAGGTAATGGATTTTATCCAGTGAAAAGCAATGGGATTTATTCAGTTTTGGGACATTTTTGGTCACTAAATCATTTCTTTTCGTTCAGGGAGTTATTTCATTCCTAATATTTCACTTATCTGAAGCAGAATTTCCTTGCAGCATCCCTGAGATATCCTGGGCTGGCTTGACATGGAGCTGGGTAGAATTATAAAAAGTGCTGATAAATGAGGAATTAAAAGCTTTGCTAGGAGAAAAAAACCATGGGAACAGCAAGTGCTGCCTCCCTGCCCCCAAAACCCACGGTCACTGTGTCCAACTTCAGTGGTAATGGGTGTTTCATATCAAAAAATCTCCTTTTTTGGGCTTTATATGTAAGTTAGATTTAAAATATCAGCTGAACCTCTGTAGGTAAGGAGTCTGTGGGAAGCAGGAGCTCAGATCCCTGGAAAACCTCCTTGCCTGGACTGAGGGATTTGTGCCACACCTGGTGCTCAATATAATCATTGACAGTTCCATCACTGAGAGGTGTTTGGGCTTAAAATATGGATTTTTTGCTCCTCAGGGTGTAAAACAGTGGCTTGTAGAGAGAATAACCCAGGTCCTGCACCAAAATCCAGGTTTATTGCCCTTTTTAAGCACATATTCCCGTCAGGAGCTCGGTGTTTCAGCCACCTCAGGAAGGGAAATTAAAGATTTCTGGGTGGCCAGAGCTTGGATTTGATGGTCCCAGAGGTCTTTTCCCACCTTAATCCCGTGGTTCTGTGAAAGTTATCCCAGAACAGGGAGGAATTAATGCAGGAGCAGCACGGGAGGCTGGAGCTGCCCAACCCAGTCCCCGAGCAAAGCTGGGCAGGACTGGGCTGCCCAGTAAGACCAGTGCAGCCCCACTGGGCCCTGCTGGTTCCCTCCTGTGTGTGAGCAGTGATTTGTGTCCTTTGGCAACACAGAGCTGGCCAAAAAACCCCGACCTGTGTTTGTGGTTCTGTTCCCGAGGCTTGGGACAAAGCAGGAAGTTGGCTCCTTTCCCAGGGGGGGATTTGTCCTCTCACAGCTCCCTTATTTTATTTTTTTTTTTTGTTCCAGTTGGAATATGGCAATTCCAGGTTCCCTAATGCAGCTTAAGAGGGGCTGGCATTACAGATTCCTTCCATAACTCCTCAGGTTCCTGTGTGTGCTGGGGGCACCGGGAGAGAGTTTTTTTTTGGGGGGTGGAGCTGGATGGGAACTGGATGGACTTCAAGGTCCCTTCCAACCCAAACCATTCTGGGATTTTATGGTTCTAAAAATGGCTGAGGGAGCTGGGGGGTTTATCTGGAGAAGAGGAGGCTCAGGGGGGACCTCATTGCTCTCCCCAACTCCCTGACAGGAGGAGGCAGGGAGGGGGGGTCGGGCTCTGCTGCCATGTCCCGAGGGAAAGGAGGAGAGGAAATGGCCTCAAACTGCACCAGGGCAGGTTCAGGTTGGAGATTAGAAGCCATTTCTCCCTGCAGGAGTGGTCAGGCCTTGGAATAAGTGTCCCAGGGAGGTGGTGGAGTCCCCGTGTCTGGGAGTGTTCCAGAGGTGTCTGGATGTGGCCCTTGGGGCCATGGATTAGGGGTGACTGTGGTGGTGCTGGGGTGGGACTGGATGATCCTGAAGGTCTCTTCCAACCTTGGTGATTCTGGGATTCAGAGAACTGACAGTCCAAGTTCTGTTCCAGAAAGACACAAACCAGCAGAGAGAAAGAAGGGATCAGAAATATGAAGTTGCATCTAATTTATTTTTTTCTGTACGATCTCCTCATACTCAGAATCCCAGACTGGTTTGGGTTGGGAGGGACCTCAAAGCTCATCCAGCGCCACCCCCTGCTATGGGCAGGGACACCTCCCACTATCCCTGCTTGCTCCAACCTGGCCTTGGACACTTCCAGGGATGGTGAGTCCTCAACCTCTCTGGGCAGATACTTCATGGAATCATCTTTTTGTCCATGTTTTGGAAGTCCTAAAACTCCCCAAGCACCCCGGGTTATCCAGGCCTGGGGCACCTGTTCATTCTCAGGGCAGATCCCTGAGGTTTGAAGGTTTGTTTTAGGCCCTTTTGAAATGAAAGCAACGCCCTCCAAGGTTCCTGGAGCTTTTCCTGCTGTTCTTTCCTCTCCCTCAGTGCCCCAGTAAAGCCCCTCACTGTGGGTTTGGCTTTAAGGCCAAGCTTAAAGTCCCATGCTGGGTAAGCCCTTCCTTGCACAGGGAACCCTTTCCTGAGCCAGGCCCAGGGCACAGCTTGGAATTCCTGCTGCCTGGAACCAGCAGAGGCTCTCGGGAGATCAGCCTGGGCTCAAATTCCGGCCACCCCCTCTGCTCCTGGAGCTTGGGCTCCTTCCAAAGGCTGCTCTTCCCTGGGATGGGCCCGAGCAGGGGCAGGGATGGGAGTTTTCCTTGGCTGCTCCTGCCTTCAGTCCCTGGGTGTTGGGAATGAAACTGCATTCCCTAAATCCTGTGGGATAGATCCTGTTTTCTTCAGCAACTTCCCTGGAAATGTCCCCCAGGTGTCTGGATGTGGCTCTTGGGGATGGATTGGATGGATCAGGGGTGATCCTGGTGGTTGCTGGGGAATGGTGGGACTGGAGGATCCTGGAGGGCTCTTCCAACCTTGGGGATCCTGGGATTCTGGGAGGAGGTGATTATCCTGCAGCTGTGCCAGGGAATTTTCCTGCTGCCTGTTGAATTTGAGGTTTAACTGATGTTTTCAGGTGGGTGAATAACAAACCCATCTCCAGGACCCACCAATATAAAATTAGAGCGT